AGAGAGCGTCTTAAGTTTATCAGCATATATCATGAAAGAAGCATTTCTCACCATATCTTCTGGTTTTGGATAGAGTGTTGCAAGGTCTTCTTTGTAGAAGAACTCGCCTACCTAAACATGATCATTTCGCTTTATAATATCCTCAGCGCATTGAAGCCCGCCCGTAAGAAAGTCATCAACAGAAGTTGTATTTACCCTTCGTTTGGTGATCGTATTGGATGACATGATATGGATGATGCGACCCCTACAGGAGCTTTCTGTGGTTGGTGGCTCTTTAAAGAGCCACAAGTGAAGTTATTAATTCCTAACCCAATGCAGTATGACTCCCCTTCCCCCTTCCCCATGACGAACTCTTACCGCAACCTCGCCTTCGACAAATCACACGTATCCTAAAGCATGCGCATATGAAGCGCCTTAGGGTTCAAAAGCACGAATGATTTCAAGCTAATCGAGCTGGGCATGCCGTTGTGCAGATTCTGTGGTTAGCCTGAGTGACAGGGCCATCATTTCCCTGGGCCAAAGCCTACTTCTCCATATTGCTTCTCCCTTCGAATGATAGCATACGCCTTGGATGTCTTCCGATACGATACCCCTTTCCCACCTCCGTTCACCACCATGGCTGTTTCTATAGCATCTGGAATATGTGATCAATCGACACACTCTAACGCCACTCACTTCCCGCTTTTTCCCTCCAAAAACGGCCATCGAGCAGGGACGGGAAGGGGGGCAATTTCTAGAATGAAGATGCAAACCCTCTAATCTTGACCTTTTTACTTACCTTTCTCGTGACCTCTGTTACTTTTTCGAACCCGAAATTTTGAAAACACCATTCAGAACTATCCTCTTACTCCGCATCTCCCGCAACCACGACATCTTCAAATTTCACAAATACGGTCCTCCTTTCCAGCCTTTTACCCTTCGTCAACCTCAAATACCCCCCCCCCCTTCCTCCAAAAAACTCAAACACAACCTCCAGTAGAGCACTCTGCAACGCACAGTCAACCCTGCCGGTCAGACCTACATACGTACACGCAAGCGCTCTTGGGCCGCGTTCATAGTTCGCGACTCCGGAGATTAGGATAGTACGCGACAATGAAAAACATATGTATTGACGGGGAGATTAGGATAGTAGTAGAGTAGGAGATTGCGCTGACAAGATTAGATACGTATCGATTGAAATCGCCGGAGAGTAGTAGATTGCGATATTACGATAGTAGGATATTATAGTAGAGTAGTAGATTAGGATAGTGCGCTGACAAGATTAGATATGTATTGATCTATTCGCTTGAAGTCGCCCAATCTACTACTCTCCAGCGATTTCAATCGATACGTATCCAATCTTGTCAGCGCAATCTCCTACTCTACTACTATCCAATCGCCAGCTCTCCTTATCCTCTAAGTCACGAACTATAAAGGCGGCTTCAACGTATTATTAAGTAGGATCCCATGACTATCATCAAATGCAAATGATAACCCACATTAACAGCAATTTTCACGGACAACTCTCGAATATCCTTCAATCTCGGGTATAAAGTCTGACATATTTCTCGAGTGCCGTGTCTGATACCATACTTGCACATGTCTGAAAAAAAACCTAGTTCGTGAATCCTTCATGAAATTCAGGTGCTTATGCAAACGACTTGACTGCAGTCAGGAACACCATATCAGGGATTTTCTTAGCTCTCCATAGAACGGCGGATAGACCAACGCCAGGGAAGATGTACGAGTTGTTCCCTTGACCTGGTTTGAACAGCTTTCCTTTATATTCAACATTGTCGAACGGCGATCCAGAGGCGAACAGAACTCTACCCTGAATATTGGTACTCGAAAATAAGTCTCGAGGAGTAGATGAAACTAAATTTGGGGGGGGGTAGGCATTATGCTCTCCAATGGCAGAGAAGGTAGGAGATGGCACGTAATCGATCCATTTAAGGTTGACTTTGATAAGACCGAGTTACGTACTGTCGGAAAGTATTCCGAAGGTGCTTTCATTCGGGCTGCTGTGGTCCTTTAGTTAATATTCGTGTGCAAGAATAACAACTTTGTTTCTGGCGCACGCCTTCCAGGATAAGGATAAAGTTTTTGCCGTTGATCAATCCTGTCTTGGGATGCGGCATGCCTCCTACTTCCATTTGTACATTCGTTGGCGTTTGAATGCGCCTTGGCCTATACAAACGATTGCCGGCTCCATGGAAAAGGTCACCGGCGGCGCGGACGCGTTCGCGTGTTGGTGACGTCACACGGCTGCAAGACAGCGAGCAAAGGCCAGCTATTTCCACCATTACTTCAATAAGTTAAGTACTCCGAGCATCTGTCGTACTCTTACTACACTGTGTGATGAGTAGAAGTAAGTTGGAATCGAACATGAAAACTTTCAGCTCAAATTACTGAAAAGTACTCCTAAGGGTTTCCACATGAAAGCCCAAGAAATTTCAACTAAGACAAGGATGGTACCTGAACATAACAAAATCAATTCTCTTGCGGCACAACTGATTGAACAAGTTGGTATAGTGCCAGAAGCCCAGCTTCATTCAAACAAAGTGGCAGCGGCGCTGACCACTGCTCGCCTTTCCTTCGAATCTGTCGCAGCTGCGACGTCATTTTGACGTCACCAACACGCGAACGCGTCCGCGCCGCGGGTGACCTTTTTTCTCCCCCCTCGGCATGCAAATGGCAGCCGATGAACAGTCAGTTTTTATCACCAGACAAGTATGGGCTCCCAACCCAGAGAGATGGAAAGGTCGGTTGCCGGACGTAGCACGACCCACTATTCGATCCCCGGACCGCGCCCGCGGTAAGCGTGCCTCTACACCGCTTGTGCCCTATTGCCTTTTAGGAAGACCTGGGTAATGAGGTTCAGAACGATGTGCACTGAGAGCGGCACAGTTAACGAAGCCAGAAGAGTGATACCAGGATCCCCAATTCCATCCCTGACTGTGATATCAGCCTTATGAGTATTCGTAGATCGCAGGTTCCCACAGGACTTCCCATGGACGTTCAAGCCAACAAAGCGGCGCAAGCTCTGCATCTGCCCTTTAGGTTTTTGCAATTGCTGGGACTATGGAAGGAATATAAATTATTCTGGTCCTTTCTATTCGCCCGAAGTTTGCTACTCACGTCAGTGCCCGTGATTGCTGCTTCGGCAGTGCATTCAGATTTTGATGTTGGATTGGACAATGGGAAGATGATTGGACGTTCGTTGATCGCAGCCATTTCTTTGATGACCTCTGCGGTGAAAGCACCACCTGTGTGGTACATCTGAAAATCCATTTTAGGATCTCAAAATTTGCAAGAATCCTGAGTAACACCGACATTAACCAGCTGCGTTCACTGTTTTCACAATTTCAGGACGGTTCTTTTGATTTGGAACCTGTAACCAAGTGGGGGCCTGTGCCTAATCTTAACCACATATTAGCCAGAATGGATAATTTCTAGCTTTTACCCTCTACTGAGCGATCACGTGAAGATATTTTCAAGGTTACCTAATGGTTCGCTATTTCGAGTCGTTCATCACCTTAAATGCACAGGCCCGCCTCATTGTTTTCCCTGGTGCTCATAATCCTTCACTGAGCGATTGGCCTAGTTCGTTACATTCTATACATAAAATAGATTTTACAATTCAGCAATTGCACGCGGACCAGTAGAATCTGCATTGTCCCACGGTGGATCACGATTTTTGTGAAAAGGTTACCTCGGACAGATCCTTACTGATTATATAACGGCCTAAGCGGTTGTGTGTGTGTGTCTGACCGGAAATTCATAACTTCGCTCCCTTTGGACCAAGAGCGCTCAAACTTCTAGGATATGTACGGGGCCGGGCGTGAACACTGATAGTGGGTGGCGGGAAGTGATAGCTACTGATAGAAGCTGATAACGGACGCCGAAATGTTGATGTCACCAATTGCGTTACACCGTTCGCGTTGATGGTGGAAAGTTTGCACTCATATATGATATGTGGGGTGAGGCGGGGACCAAGAAGTTGAGTGGACGAAGATGGTAGCAATGAGCGAATAAAATCATATTTCCAATTTCCATCATAGCTCGGTAGATGCTGATTGATTGCTTATATTTCACTTACACACCGATTATTCAATTGTGGAAGTTCTATAAACCGCTAAATCGCCCGAGCTCGACATCAATGCTAAATGTTTTCGAAGTCATGATAAGTAACATTTCCATTCCGCGTGCTACTGCGCGCGTTACGCGACAACCTCCAGAGAAATTGGACGACCTTTGAACTTCATGGGACACATCTTCCAAAACATTTTACTGTTAGTTTCTCTGTTACGTGACCTAACATTCTGGAAGTTGTCCAGTTTCACTGAAGCCCGCCATTTGATGCGCGCGGTTGCGTGCGGAGCTCAACT